ATTCATTAGATAAAATATTTTTTAATAACAAAGTTTATTTTTTTAATATAGTATACGGAAATAATAGTAAAATTAAAAATTATCATAATATATATATATATATATATATATATATATATATATATATATATATATATATATATATATATATATATATATATATATATATATATATATATATATATATATATATATATATATATATATATATATATATATATATATATATATATATATATATATATATATATATATATATATATATATATATATATATATATATATATATATATATATATATATATATATATATATATATATATATATATACTATGATCCCCAATATATTGTACAATAAACAAATTATCTCTTCTCTACATTCAAAGAGAATTCGAGACATAAGGAGTATCGGTTGAGAAAAACCCACAAAAGCTAACAACTTATAGATTTATAGGCATTTTTTCAATAGATCCCGATATTCCTAAAATCAATTATTTGATCCTTTAATTTTATACATGCTTAAATACCTTTCAACATGGATTTAAATATAAAAACATTGCTTATTGAACCCGAAATATAATTAAATACTGGTTAAATACCTTTGACAATTAAGACTACACGCTTTCTTGGTTGCTTCTCTCACATGATCTATACTTACTTATGTATTAAAAAAATCACTTGTTATTATATTATAATATACATTAAATAATATATACTCTTTTGCATTGGTCACAAGATTCAAGCATAGTCCCACAGCAAATTTGTATTCTTTATATAAATAGATACCATGGCCATGTAATTTTCTTCACATTTCAACACAACTTTTCATTGCCACCATGACTCTACTCTCTACAATTTGGCTATTACCTCTCTTTACTTTCATTTATGTTAATGGTCTTCTTCCTATTGAAGCTACTCACCATGTTTATAGAAACCTTGAGAGTTTATCTTCCCATCAATATTCCACAAATCAACCTTATAGAACTGGTTATCATTTTCAACCTCCAAAGAATTGGATTAATGGTAATTAATATGCTCTTAATATTGTGTAATTTCTTTTTGGGTTGAATATTTTACATCTCTGACAGATTCTTCTTTTGGTTTTTGTTCTTGTTCTTTTACATGTTATGCTTAAATGGATGTGTGCATTTGAAGATCCTAATGGTTAGTTCAATTCTTATATGAATCCTCTTGATTAGTAGTAGTACTTTTTTTTGCATATAGTTTCTTTTAATATTAATTCCAGCATATTATCATCATTATTGTTGTTATATTCACTACATAGATAATAGATTAGACACTTCAAATTTAAAATGTCTCATTGTTGAATCTAATGTTTGTGTTCAATGCTTCAAAGATCATCTCTAGCTATTTGTGAAATTGATTAAAAAGATATTAGTCAAAACTCAAATTGTTGAAATGTTCAAAATAATAATACAAACGGCAGTTCCAAAGCTTAAAAGTAATATAATCACATATACAGCAATATATAACATGCATCATCTATAAGCAAATCACATGCAAATCAATAGGAAAATGACATTTCAACAATAAAAAAAATGTCAACAATAACTCCAAAAGAAATGTTTACATTCAAAGAAGATGAATATTTTTATACTGATTTAGAAAAATATAAAAATTGGAATAAGGTAGGTCAGATGTCCAAAATATATCATTAATATTTCGCCAACATATATGAATTTTAAACTGATACGACACTGACACGTGTGATCATACTTAATTTATTTACTTTTGTAAAATTATTATTGATATCGAAATTTTGTGTGATTTTTTTTTTTGTAGGTCCATTAATTTACAAAGGAGTTTATCATTTGTTCTATCAATACAACCCTAAAGGTGCACAATGGGGAAATATTGTATGGGCACATTCCATTTCAACTGATCTTATTAACTGGGCCCCACTAGACCCAGCCATCTTTCCATCTCAACCGTCCGATGTAAACGGTTGTTGGTCAGGATCAACCACAATCCTTCATGGTAACAAACCATCAATTCTATACACAGGAATCAACAAACTCAACCAACAAGTTCAAAATTTAGCATACCCTAAAGATTTCTCTGACCCTTTTCTAAGGGAATGGATCAAGTCACCACAAAATCCAGTAATGGAACCAACTAGTGAAAACAAAATCAATTCAAGTTCATTCAGAGATCCAACCACTGGTTGGTTAGGAAAAGATGGAAAATGGAGGGTTCTTATTGGAAGCAAAAGAAGAACTAGAGGGATTGCAATTTTGTATAAGAGTAAAGATTTTGTTAATTGGGATAAATCTAAGCACCCTTTGCATTCGGCTAATGGCACTGGAATGTGGGAGTGTCCTGATTTTTTTCCTGTGTTGAAAAATGGGATTGATGGTGTTGATACATCGTTGAATGATGATTCTGTTAGACATGTTCTTAAGGTTAGTTTAGATGATAAGAAACATGATTATTATCTTATTGGAAGTTATGACGAAGAAAAAGACAGATATGTCCCTGATAAAGGTTTTGAAGAAGTTGAAATTGAATATGTTTTTAGATATGATTATGGGAAATATTATGCTTCAAAAACTTTCTTTGATTATGAGAAGAATCGAAGGGTTTTGCTTGGTTGGGCTAATGAATCTTCAAGTGTTGCTGATGATATCAAGAAAGGATGGTCTGGAATCCATGTGAGTTTGTTGTAATAATTTTCTTTATTTTTTTATTTTATTCTATAATATATAGTCTTGAATATTAACTATTAACTTAATAATTTATATTGAGTAAAATATGCAGTATGGTTTAATATATACCATGTAGCAGCTAACATCACGGCATGAAAATATGGATTTTTTTTGTTTAAAAAATAAAGTTGACTAGAACAGTTTAGTTTAATATACAAACTATTTTAATGATCATGTGTTTAGCATAGTTAATCTACATATCAAGTTTGAATAATTCAGTAATCAATAACTATTTTGCAGACAATTCCAAGGGCTATTTGGTTACATAAGTCAGGAAAACAGTTGGTACAGTGGCCGGTTGTAGAAATTGAGAAGCTGCGAGAAAATCATGTCAACTGGCCCACCAAACTTCTCAAGGGAAATGAACTTCTGCAAATTAATGGTGTCACAGCATCACAAGTAAGCCATGCTTTCTTAATTACTAGAATAATATTGCACTGAACCGGGATCTCTGGAAAAAACACATGTTTGTGTTTACGTTCAATTTATTTATTTTTCAAATTATGATCGGTGTCAACTTGTCAGTGTTATCGTCATGTTTGATGATTGTGTCTGTGTTTCATAGATATTAATGATTGTGATTATTTAGACACTAGATTAATTAATCGGTTATTTAACTTATGCAGGCTGATGTTGAAATTTCATTTGAAGTGAATAAGAATAACATTGGAGAAGCTGAAGTTTTGGAGAAATGGACAGACCCTCAAATTCTGTGTAGCCAAAAGGGTACATCAGTAAAAAGTGGTTTAGGACCTTTTGGTTTGTTGGTTTTTGCTTCAAAGGGGTTACAAGAGTTCACTTCAGTGTTCTTTAGAATATTCAGATTCCAAAACAAAAACTTGGTCCTCTTTTGTAGTGACCAAAGCAGGTTTTTCCTTAACCCTCTAGTTATGTTTTATTCAAAATTGAGTTCCAACTCTATCTTATAAAAATGCATTTTTTAATTAACAGGTCTTCTTTGAATAAAGATAACGATTTGACTAGTTATGGGACTTTTATAGACGTGGATGTTCTTCATGAGAAGCTGTCATTGAGAACTTTGGTATGTTACAATTGATTAATGTTTTAAGGCATTGGACAATTTCCACCCTATAGAATATGTACATACTTTTTCAAACATACATGTCATTTTCTTTTAATTGTAGAGTGGTCCACAAAAGTTCCATCAATATGAAACTTACATAGGAAAAGTCATGACATTATAATATTTTATTTCTATTAATATTATTCGAAAAATTTCATGAATGAAGCATAAAATTCAACTTCTAATAAATGAGTTTCTACCTTTTTTTTATACAGATTGATCACTCTGTGGTAGAGAGTTTTGGAGGGGAAGGAAAGGCATGCATTACAGCTAGAGTTTATCCCACATTGGCTATCAATGATAAAGCATTCATTTATGCTTTCAATAATGGAACTACTGATATCAAGATCACAAGTTTGAGTGCTTGGAGCATGAAGAAAGCACGGTTAAATGGAAAATTATAAGCAAGAAAGTAGGTGTAGAATAATGGATTTCATATAGTAAAACTTCATTTTGAGTTCTATAATGAAAATTAACATTCATGTCATTTATATAATCTGGTAAAAAGATATGAAAAATAAATGTTTGTTGTGATTTTGTCTATATGACTGTCAACAACAACTTTTTCATTTGTGTTTTTGTTCTTTTGAAGCTGTTGTAACAGATTTTTGAAGTCTGTTTTATACTATTATTTAGGTAGATAAGTTTCAGTGTCTAATAGGCTTATGAATAATTGTTTTTTGTTCTTTTTTCTGTCATCTGAGATGAAATTTCCAATCTATATTGAGTAAGATAATTGTACTCAATCATAACCAAAAAGTAAACAAGTTGCAAGATATGTAAAATGATGACCAAACCTTAGATTTAATATCATAAACATGTCAATACAAGGTCGCCGTACATCAAGAACAATGAAAGCAATAAAGAAAACTTACAATAAATGCCTACAACAAGAATATCAAATGGAGCTTTGCAGCATAAGTTTACTAACTATCTACATCCAAAGGTCTTAAGTTTCTCGGCCGTTAATAAATCAGCCAACCTGTTTTATAGGATATATTCTTTTAGAGGTGTTGAACGTTCGGTTATATACCTTACGTCCTTGACCAACCTTAAAATCATAACTATCAAGGGTTCTTTTAGAGGTGTTGAACGTTCGGTTATATACCTTACGTCCTTGACCAACCTTAAAATCATAACTATCAAGGGGTAAAGTCAGGATTAGCTTCAGTTAGTTCTCTAGTCTGCTGTTATTCATATTCCATGCTCGGAGGATCCTTTTGCTTACGTTTCCTACTACCCTTCTTAGTTACTTTCTCCTTTGGTGTTTCTTCAAATTGTTCTGTTAAACACTTATGTGCAATATTTTTCACTTCGTCAATCAAGCCTCTATTATAAGAATCCAACCCTTCGGTTGAGAATATATCAGCAAGATTCGCAATTTCCCTCATAGCAGTAACCTGTAACAGCATGTAGCAGTCATGTATGTATTCATAGCATATCTAAGAGAAGGATAAGTATAAAAAAAATAAGCAAAGACATACTGCTCTCTGATACTCTGACTCTACAGATGACGTAACTCTCCCAATGTATTTTCGAGTTATCTTCTGGTACCACTGCATGTACTCATCCTCATCTAAAATGTTGCCGCCTTCAACAATATGAAGCCAACGCTCTGACCATTCTTTGAGAGCCGTGTCCATTTTTCCCATCAAGTCTGCCCCATGATCCACTATACGACTCTTCCTCTCCCAACGTTCCACATCTTTTGGGATGGCTTGATGCATGCCGAATTGCCTTAAGCAACGATCGGGAAGGTGCCTTTCCGCCTTGTCAAAACACAACAGCATAGTCCTAGATGCCCGTAAAATCAAACTAGTTTGTATATATTCTGGTATGGCTGCATAGTCCATATCCTTGTAAGGAAGCCACTGGACCTGTGTATCGATACTAAAGCAAATTTATTAAGGTCTTCTACCGAATTCATCAAATAAGTCACATTATCAGCACTTACATCACAAGGATTAAGAGAATCCAAAGCCTTTCGGTAGGAAGCTACATTATATTTCGTCCTACAACCACTTTTCCCTTTCCATTTAAGCACAAAGGGAAAGCAATTACTGTCAGGGTCTTGGTTAAATTTAGGCTGTCCGACATTGAGGCGGGAATAACTCCAACACTATAAAAACTATTATTCAGCCAGTCAAACAGAAAGCAACGGATTATAAAAAAGAGTAAATGGAAGTAATTTTTTTAACCTGTACTAGAGTTAAACAGCCACTAACTGTGCTTTGAGATTTAAGGGAAGCATTGCCGAGTGAACGATATAGAAACGCCAATGCTCCTGCACCCCAAGCAAACTTCCCAGCCTCGTCAAAGTTTTCAAGCAAAGAAAGGTACATAACAGGGACTTTGTTCCCAGTTGTTGTAGAAAATATTGTACTGCCTACTAGGTATAGAAGGTAAGCACGGGTACAACGTTCAGTTTCCTCCAGTAATGCATCTTCAGGACACTCAGAAAAGAATTCCTTCAGCCAAGTAAGCTTCACCATTCCACCATTCAAATCATCCGGTACTCTCCCTAGTAGTTTCTCACAGGCTGCACTGGGTGCACTTATTGGTCCTATCACAGGTTCTCCATCAATAGCCAATCCAAGTAACAATGCTACATCTTCCAGGGTTATTGTTAATTCTCCAACGGTTAAGTGAAAAGTATTTGTTTCTCTCCTCCACCTCTCAACCAAAGCTGCTATCAGTGCGTTGTCAAGACTCATAGCAGGAAGTAATCGTAGGTAACCGAAACCAGCCTTCTCAACCAACTTAATCTGTTTAGGTGTGAGCTTCCACTGATCAAGCATTGAAGTGTGTTCATGGCATCTAAGAACACCACGCTCCTGTGAATTTGGTATGAAAAATATTATCATATTCAATAATATGAATAATGAGAAACGCGACTCAACAGAAATTACAAATGGTAGGCAAAATGCATGCACCCACCTGTCCATCCCAAACTGCTGAAGAAACATGGTTATCTTGATCATAAAGTACATAATTATTCATTGGCCCAGGATCTTCATTGAGCTCCATTTAGGTAAGTAAAGAGAACTGTTCAAAATACAAGAACCGCAGAAATGCATAAATACAAATCAGCCCGAATTTGAGATTGAAAGGAATCTTGTTGAACTCGCAGCTGTTCTGCTTCCAGCAAAGATAAAGTAACAAATAACAAGAGCATTCAACATCATAAACTAATTATTTCATAGCGGACCTTCAGATAAAGTGTCGGGTTGATGTTTGTTTTGCCAATTCGAAACTGCATCACCTTCACTTGCACAAACTGCTGAGCCATGTTTAAGCTATAGTCAAATCATGATTAAAGCTGCCTCTAAAAAACTAAAAGCCAAGGATGGTTCTTCCAACTTATCCCACTATTTTGCACCACCTTGATGAAAAAGAGAAATTTCACATTTAGGATATAAACCTTTGAATAGTATCACTATCACTAAAGGTTTAAGCAATTACAAATTATGCTTTGCAAATATACATATACTGTAAATAATTATCAAGCATGGAAATTTCACTGCATTTGAATTACGATAGTTTCTATAAGGTTGTTGGGATCCTTTCATTGTGCAAGAATGAATTCCCAGAACAGAATATTATTGAGTAATCAGAAAAATGACTTGAATTCTCTTTATTCAACAGTAATAGGGAAAGAAAAGTACAAGAGCATCTCAAAGGAGCACTCTCCTTTGACTCGTCATAAAACTCAATTATGACATTCCCTTCAAATTCAAAGCATTATCTCCATAACTCAAATGTCCTAAATCCAACTTCTATAACTATTAGCTCACAGTCACACGTGACACATCAAAAATCTTAACAACTCGTCCCCTTCTCAACTAAAGACAAAATCTTTTCCAAACTGCATTTAGTAAACCCTATCTTGACCGCAATTCTAATAAAACATCCGCATCCGCGGCATCAAGGTTTCCAATGCCTAGCAACATTAACACAACCGTGATCAAGGCCGCATCAGTCTCATTTGACTGCAATTTCTCGCAATATAAACCCTAAATGGAGACCACAAATCATTACCCACACAAGGTCTTGTAAGCAGAACAACAACAAAGTGAGGAAGGTTTGAAATTTCAAAGCATTTTCTTTCTTATAATTTATTAACAGTTCCAAGATTCTTTATAAAACTAGATATAATCAAATAATCCTCATAAAGAAAATGTCAAAAATACAAAGTTTTGATAACAACAGTTAGAGTGCGAAAATTATCAAGAAATGATATTCAAGTTCGAAAAAATTGAAAAACCCAGAACGAAAGAACGTTGATTTATCCAATATAGTTATAGAGAGAGAAAAGGAACTTGGGGACGGAGTAGATTACCAGTGGTGCCTTTGCTGCCGGAGAAGATGAGCCAGGATTTGGGGTCAATTTTTCTGTTGTTGCTGATTCGATTTTTAAAAGTTTTAGAAAATTATTTTTCATTGAATTTGTTTTCGCTGATTTCTAAGGGTTTTTTTTTATGTAGATTTGTAAGTTGGATAATTAAATGAGACATGACATGGGAAATCTTATTTTTAAGGTATCTATTATTATTTTTTCATTTTAAGTTTTTTTAAAAAAAAAAACAATCGCAGGTTAAATGGAGCTAGAGTTTTATGATTCAATTGCGAAAAAGAAAAAATAAATCTATTAGAGCATCTTTAGTGGGAGTAAACTAAATGGGTAAACTAAGATACTTTTTGTGGGACCAAAGTGATTTGTAGGATTTAAAAAATTTATAGTTGATTTGAGTAGTTTTTACTTTAATGGTGGTTGTCAATAAGAAACCAAAACTTGACCCCACATAGTATTAAATGGTTAATAAAAATCTATTATTTATGTTAAATAATTAATAAAAATTTATTATTTATGTTAAATAATGAGTTAGAGTACGTTGCTTGTGTAGAACACGTAAACTAGTTTTAGAGCATCCCATATGCCATGTCAGCACTACTATAATGCAAATTCCTTATTACTAACGTAAGCTATAAAGAATTTTGGTTTAACAAGCACTAAAGTTGCTCTTAGTAATTTGATATTAAAAAGAAATTTTTTAACGATGTAAAAAAGAAACTGGTTGTTTGGTCTAAGGTTTGGCTAGGGATTCAATACGTGAAAACATAAAATTGGAAGTTGAAAAAACTTGTCTCAACTTATCCATTAATGGTAAGCTTTTATCTTGGATATGCTTTTATCTTCGAGTGTTAAAAGATGAAGATAAATTTTAATACAAGAGTCATTTGCATATGATATTTGATGTTTGGAGTTGTACTTATAAACACTCTAACAAGTAGATAATAACAGTTGTATGTGTGAAGTTTATGGTTTATAATATTATATATTTGATTATGAATCATTTGTTAAACTTTATAGTTGTATTCTAAAGTTTAATGGCTCTAGAATCTTTCTCGACAACATATGTTTTGTTTTCAAGAATAAATGTCAGTAGATTCTATTAAGTCGTTTGTCTAATGGATCTAAGTCGTCAATTAGTCCTGATCAGGTGTAGTGTTAGGGCGTAAAGAGTTGTTACTAGTCTTGGGTCTTAAAGACTTAGGGTGAAGCGTGCATTTAATGGTTCATGCATAAGCTGAGGTATAATGATCATTTTTAGGGAAATGAAACACATTTAATTGTTATGTGGCTTCTCACATTTGCGTTTTGGTTTGGTGGTAGAAGTCTTTGGTGATTAGATAAGAGATAATTGCATGATTAGCACTCAAACGCCCAAGTCGATGTATGTGAGAGATTGAATTATTCAAGTGCGAATGAGAATAATATGTGGGTGTGACTCATAATAACACTTATATAGGGTTGACAGTTAGAACTGTCATTGGGTACTTCGACATCGGATGCAAAAAGTAAAGTGATGAAGATCAGTAGTAGATAGGAGAAATTGAAGCACACTTTTATGCGGGAGTCGAGAATGGAAGTCCACTTGTTCATCAACTAAGGGATAACTTTGGTTAGATATGGTCGTGTAGTTAGACAAGTCTTATTCGGTCTTTGGCTATCCTAGAATAATTGACCGTTAAGTCCTTGTTATTAGTAATGTAGTGAGGAGTGTTAATGTTGTAGTCTCAGAGACTAGTCCAAGTGTGAATTCCAATGAGCAAATAGGCTCCTTAAAAGGATGACCTCGGGAAGAAAAGGGCTCAATGTGATGTTGAGTGTGAGTAGTGTGCATTGAGAATATTCACATTTAATGCTCATTGTGTCATAAGAAATTTGCCTCAGAGAATGTTACCACACACATATCCTCGTGCAACTAGGATCGAGATGTGACACATTTATGGTGCTTGAGTGTCATTACATATCGAGGTTTCATCCTGGCCGATGTTCGTGGCTTTTAATTTCACATTAATTACTCATTGTTAATCTTGACGCTCTCTATGCTTAAAATAAGGAACTTGTCATTAGTTTTCACTTTTTGAATTCTTTTGTCTTTGAGCATAATTGATTTTCTTCTTCTCTTTATAATTTCTACGATCAATGTTAATACCTTCTAGGCCTCAAGTTCTTTTCTTTAATCGCTTCGCTCTTCATTTTTTAGAATCAACAAAAACACATAAGGTGTTGTGTTTTTACCCTTTATTTTACTCTGATTTACTTTAGCTTTATAGTGATGGCCAACTTAGAAAACCGAAGAATCCCCTTTATTGAATTTTGTAGTGATTTAAAAGTTAGTGATATCTTCCCCGAACTGAGGCAGTGGTGATAAACCTAAAAGTAATGGATCCAAAGATGGAGAACCTAGGGGTATCTATACTAGAAAATAGAGAGCTTTCTCCTAATAAGTTATATATTATGGAGATTTCTCAAGGGTTAACTTTTTTTGGAATTTCCACAATTGCTCTAAAGACTATGGGGGATCCCATGGAGGAACAAAAGTCTCAAGCTTACGTTAAATGTTATAGAAGTTCATTCTTATTGGCGATGAACTTAAATGGTGGTTAGATGAACAATTAAGGTGTCATACTCATAGTTTCCATTTGTTGTCTATCAATAATGACGAGGAAATGGTGAGACAGACACAACAAAATCCTAAATTACCTAATGATGATCAATATTACTTAGTGGATGATGAAATATTAGACACATCGTCCTTGTACACTAAAGAATGTAAAATGGATAATGCTTATTGAGATGTAAGTTTGTCTCCATATTGTAGTGATTCATCTTAGAATAAACAAATAGTTATACAGTCGATACAGCGTGTGCGAGTTGCCTTACGTGCTTGTTGTAACACCCCAATTTTTAGTAATTATTTATTTAATTAAATTAATTGATTAATTGTGTGATTTTGTGTCTAATTGAGTTAACTAATTTATGTGATTTATTTGAATTAATTGATTTACTTGATATATTTGAAATTAGTCGATTTATTGAATTTATATGAAATATTTAATTTATATGAATTAATTGATTTATTAAATTTATATAAATTATTTGATTTATTTGAGTTGTTTGGATTAATATATTAATTTATTAGACATATTTGAAATAATTGATTTAATTTGATTATTTAATTTATTTGATATATTCTATTTGGTAGAATAATATAGAATTGTTAGATTAATTAATTGGGTCTAATTGGAGGTCTGAATAGAAATGTGTTAGTAAACCCATTAAAAATTATTAGATTTTGAGAAATTGTGAGCGATTTAGTACATAGTGTTATCAAATAATTGATGCTATATATATATATATATATATATATATATATATATATATATATATATATATATATATATATATATATATATATATATATATATATATATATATATATATATATATATATATATATATATATATATATATATATATATATATATATATATATATATATATATATATATATATATCCTATAGCGACAAAAAGAATATAGGATAAATGATAGGCAATAAACAAATATATAAGTGTGAAATAAAAGTTTATTTAATTATTGAAGTTATATTAATTTCACTTGAACAGTTAATTCACATGCTATAGCCTTTCTTAAATTTCCAAATGACAATTTAATAT